ATGCATAATTAATCACCTTGTATTATAGTTTGAACATTATAGAATTCTTGCACAAGTTAGTATACTGTTTAAATGTGAAGGTACAAAATTGTTCAACATGGTTTTAGCAATTTTGTCGAGAATGATTTTATAGATTTAAATCATGTTCCAGTGGTGAAATATAAGCATGTCAGATTACAGAATTATTATATGCTTATAGAGGATAAATTGATTTATACATGTGTTAAATATAATATCAATTCTTGGATAATTATGTAGCGGTATAAACTAAGCATGTTCAAATATATATTTTGATTATGATTAGCACGGATTAAAGGATGTCTATACTTATTCTCTGTGCAATAAATTATGAGAGAATCATGCAACGGTGGTATAAGACAAGCATGTTAGTTTACAAAGTTCTATTATGCCTTGTATGGAATTAATTAATGTAAACAGTTATTTAAATTTTGCCAGTTATTATGGAACAATTGATGCCTATATGTAATATATTATTATCAATTGTGGAATTTATGGATTAGTTGGTATTTACATATATACTTGTATTGCCAATTACTGGATGGATGGATTGTATGCACCGGTATGGGACGGTGACATACTAGGGACAGATTAGTTTCAAAATACTACATCCTACCTACATGGAATAAGGGAATGGATTTTAAAATAAATCCTACTTATGCTCAAGTCAAAGAAGCTGCACAAGCTGAATGACTAACTGGATTACTTGTTATTTAAGTTAAGTCAAAGAAGCTGCACAAGCTGAATGACTAATTGGATTCTTGATGGATAGTTAGGATCGGACTTTAAATATATTTTTATGGTATCGCGATATGAGCTTGAGTCTCAGAGTCGTCGGTTAGGGAACGTATATGCAGTACGATGCGTAGCTGGATATGGGAGGTTGAGGTGTACCCTATTAGGTCTAGGTACTCATGCCCACCTATGGGTGCGTTTTCGCATGTTACCTTCTATTCAGGTTGAGACCCTCTCCATAGTCCAGTGAGAGTCCTGTAGTGTGATTATACATATGTATGGACTATTAGCTATTGTTGAGTTGATTAGAATGTATATGCGCATCGAGTCTCTGCTTGGATAGTAGTAGGATAGAACTTGTTTGTGGGCCTGACCCACTTCTATTTTTCAGGTGTTCAACCGTTCCAGTCGTAGGCTTGATCGTGCTGAGCAGAGATTATCACTCACTCTTTCGACGACGTAGGACTTCTCTCCATGGTTTACTATGGATGTTCTTTTAGTAGTTTTCTTTTCAGTTTGGATTTTTAATAGGGGTCCACTAGAGATGGATTCCCGAGTTGTATTCATGGAGGTTTCAGAAGTTGGATTTATTTACTTTTTATCAGTTGAGGATTTTATATTAGTATTCGTTTCAGCTTTATTATTTTACCTTCTAAACTATTTTATAATCTGTGTTCGTTTTAAAATACTATAATTGTTTGATATTCCCTCGGGTTCGGGTCTGGGCCTGATCAACCCATGTCTCGGATCCGAGGGGTATCACAGGTTTTGATCAGGTACGAAGATTTGGTTTGTGGTGTTCATCATGCTTAGATGATTTGTGGACTTGAAGGTTTCAATTCTTGTAAAGGACGGCTCGAAATGCAATTCGTAGCCTTTTTGTCAAATGTGTATATTTTATTCCAAACTTGTAATATGTGCTTAAGCACACTTTTTGATATTCATTCTAAGTATATAATTTGTTGCCAAGGGTCAAACTTTATTTGAAATCCGTGAATATTCATGAATGTTGAATTTTGCCTTTAATGAGAAAAATATGAAAGCTTGAGTTTCAATATGTCATTTTCGCACCGTGTGTGCATTGTGTATGTAATTCATCCTTTACCATTCATTTGCCATATGTGAGGTGTGGCCAAGGGCCAAACACCATTTAATGTTCATTTTTGCATTTTAGTTCACATATTGCATTTTTGGGCTAAATATTAGAAACCGAGCCTTTAAGGGTTCATTTTCAAATCCGGGGGTGTAAAGTGTGTTCCGGTACCTCTAGTAGGTCTCATTAATCTTATATGAAGTGTGGCCAAGGGCCAAACGGTCATTTGACACCATTTCCTAATTTTGGTTTTTATGTTTTTCATTTCAAGTCCATTTTTACCTTTTTGGCCGTTGGGGGGTCGGATTTTGCATCGACGGTATTTTTAAGCCGTAGACCATTGTAGCGCGTCCAAATAGGTAAGTTACGTTTGTGTGCATGATCGTTTTCAAGAAAAACCCTTTTCCTTTGTGATTTGAGTCTCATAGGGATTCATTTTTCACTTTTGTTGCATAATCTGATTTAGGGGCATTCTAGACCTTTCACATCAGTTTTATTTTCTTCTTTCAACATGGTCGCTTAGAAAACATGATTTTAGGGGGGGTTCTTTTTCGTGTTTTTCCAGAAAATGTTGTCTTGGTACCGGAAATCCCACATGAAGTTTCAGCTTCCAATTTTCATTTAGCAGCTTTATGACCCTCATGACCAAATTTCTTGGAGGGGTATTTTGGTCATTTTACAGTGAGTTTTTTTCGTTTCCTTTTGCGTACTCAGGTAGAAAACTCGATTTTAGGGGGGGTTTCTTCTTCGTGTTTTTCCAGAAAAACTTGTCTTGGCCCCCGTTTCAAGCCTCAGTTCTGGAACCTCACTTCTTTTTTTTTTTTTCTTGCTGTCAGCTTGTGTATGCCATTGGGCGCCGGTGGGCTCGTGCATGGGCACCGTGTTTGCCATGGCCTTCGTCGAGCTGCCGCGACGTCTCAACTTCAAATCCTCGTTTCTCCCTTGTTCGGACTCCAAATCGAGTGAACTTTTTTTTGAACTTGACTAATTTTTCGCTGTCTTTCCAACGGTATGCTCGGTTGCACACGAATCTTCTTAGATAATTACCAGTTTACCCTTTTAGCCCTAAGTGCTCGTTTTTCTTCGTCATGCCGTTTCTCCTTCATCTGGACTCCGAATCATGCGATTCTTGAGTCCATCTTGATTATTTTTTTGTTGTCTTTCCAGCGGTGTGCTCGGTGGCACCCAACTTTATATTTTTCAGAAATGACCATTTTGCCCTTGGGGCTATTTTTGTCCGATTTTCTTGTAATTCGCTTCTGCTATTTTCTTTTGAGTTCTGTGACTTCACGGATGTGTCTCGAGAATAATTTACATTATAGGGACGTCATTTTTATGTAGAATTACTATTTTACCCCTAGGGGCTTATTTGTCATATTTTCGATCTTTTGCTTCTACATCAATTCTCATTGGGTTCTACGACCTCATGGAGGGTCACTTTGACTTCTTAGAGTCTAATTTTCTATTTTCGCTTCCGCATTCAGATCCGTTATAGGGTCAATTTTCGGTTCATCACAGGACGAACTGGCTTGAAAAACCAGGGCCGTCACACTAACCTTGGGATGAAACTCTTTAAATTAACATGTGAATGTGATTTTTAGGATACTCAATTTTTTTGTAGTAAAATTTAACTTCAAATAACAACATAAATAATTTGTTAAATTGAGTTACATTTATGTGTGACATTAGTTATTTGACACTATGTAAATACCTTATTTTGAGGGTGAAGATAGTGAGTGAGCAAATAACAATTAATAAAAAACTTTGCCAAGTTTTTTTTTATAACACAATGGTTTTAATGTAACAATTTTCCAATCCAAATTATTTCTATTTGTACTAAATAAATTTTATCCTTTCCTATAAGAATCACCGTGATGAATCATCAGTCTTAACAACGATTCTTTTAAATGGAGAATATGAAATAAGTTTGCAAACTTTCATCCGTATCATAGTACTTTGGCACAATTTTTAGTATGTTACTTCACAATTCATTATATTTTGTATTCTTATGCATCTTTAAGGATATCTTATAATTTTATTCCAATAGTTTTCACATGACAAATCGCCATCATAAATTATGTTTACCCTTACCTACATGGATTAAAGAGATGAATCATCGATCTCGGCAATTCTAAATGAACAATAGCAAATGCTTTTACAAAATTTCACCTGAATTTTAGCACCTTTGCACAAGTTTCAATATATCACTTCACAAATTTTAATATTTGTATTCTTATGCATACACAAGGACTTTTGAATAGTTTTATTGAAATGGTACCCGTATAACAAGTTTTCAATCCAAATTATTAACATTTGTACTAAATAAATTTAATCCTTATGGGAAAGAATCACCGCGATGAATTATTGATCTCGACAACGGTTGTTCTAATTGAAGAATATGAATTGCTTTTACAAAGTCTCACTTCTATTATAGTATTTTTGCACAATTTTTAGTATATTACTTCACACATGTATTATACGACAAACAAAATACTTGACGTTTCTCAAAATAATGAAAAGAGCGAAGGCTTTTTTGTTATTCCAAGTATAAAAAAAATCATACATTTAGTTAAGGACAAGTGAACCATAAAGTCCTTCGACAAAGTTCACATTACTTTCGTACCATTATGTTTTCGAAAAAAACTTAATAATTTGCTCACTCAACACTTTCACCCTCAAAACATATTTACATAGTGCCGACTAGCTAATATCACACATAAATTTAACTCAATTCAACATATTATTTATCCTAAATATCAATATCACTTGTTAACAAGAAGGGGGTGAAAGAACATAGAAAACCTTGTAATGTATTCAATCTTTGAATGTGACACCTTATTGATTTCATATAATACATATTTTCAACCCTTTGCTTCTTCGTGATAGAGTTTTCATAGAATGAAATATAATTAGAATACAATGAGTCACAATTTTTAACTCAAAATATTGATTTTCATAAAATGTGTATTTTTTTTTAACCTCAAAACCATGATTTTCATAAAGTCATTATTCTCAAATTCAAACCCATGATTTTATTTTCAAGGTAAGTTATTTGGACTAACTTTAGACAATATAAAAAATTCTAACTTTTTTTTTTTCCCCCTTCAATCTGGTGGGTTTTATTGATACAAAAAAATACAGCAGAAAACAGAGCTAAGAAAAATTTTACAAAACATAAACTACCAATATTTTTAAAAAACTAACCAAAGGGATAAATACAACAGAATTAAGAAATTCAAAGCAGCTCCATATCCTCAAGCCCCATACAGAGTAGTGCTTCTAAATATACATCAGTAGCTAGTAGACCTTATTTGATCCTCATGTAATCTAAGATTACTCTCCCTTCAGATATTCCAAATAATCACATTACCATCTTATGAACTTTACTCCCCTGTGTGATTCTTTTGAATTAGTCACAAACCATGCAAAGCCTCCTCAAGTTTTGCCAAACAATATGCCTAGAAAAAAGTCCGCCAACGCAAGTTGACATCGCAAAGAAAGTGGAGAGGAAAAAATTTACTTTCATTTACTAAAAACTAACAATGTAAATAAAAAATATTAGCTTAATCTTATACTAATGAACACTTGGACCACCTGCAAACACATATATCTATATCAATACATCTCTTTATATATTCAATAGCCTCATTCCAAACATTCAATTACAATCCTAATAATCATTTACTCTAGACCCAAAATTAAAAATAGAAAACTAAAAAAGTATACACATTTTAAGCTCGTGTCTGCCATATACAAACAATTGGACGACCTTTAAATGAGAATGATGCCTAACTTATGGAATAAATTATCTGAGGTCAAGCCGTTATAAATAATAAATTGAACGATAAACAAGTGGAGGTACTCAATACAATTTAATGTGCTCTAAATAATCAAAATTAAATGCAGAAGAAATTCTTAAATTTTAATTTAAAAATAAGATCATAAATGAGATAGGGGATGTCATCCACGCAATTAAATAAATTTTATAACTTCCACAAAGAAATTAAAATTATATACAAGAACAATGAAAAAAATAGTATTTTTCGCTCAATCTTACAGAACAACTCACTTAAACCACCTATAAACGAATTTACCCACATCCTTTGCCTTGAATATTCATTCATGTTGGAATATACCGTAATAGATTGTGCAAAAACTACAAATATTTTATGTTAAGTCTGACACCAAATAACAATTGGAACACCTAAAAATAAATTTACAGCATACTATTTAGGAAACCATTCACATAATTAAGCCCATAAATTCATTTACTCCAAGACATAAAAAGAAAGACTAAACCACTCCTTTTAAATTGCAAAATGAAGGAATAGCATTGTGTGTATCCAGCATAGAAGCTTCTCGTACTTTAGGTCAGCATCAATTCCACACCAAATTCAACTCTAGTACCCAAATCTCTGCACTAATTCCACGCTGCCTTGAAATTGAAATTCCCATACTTCCATACGACAGAATCCTCCATTAAATGATCTCTGAATTTGGAAAGATCAGCTAAAATCTCTACCAGCCGGGATAGAAATTCCACTAACCATTTTACAATAAGTCTTCAATTATTTGATTTCTTTGTAAATCAGTACCGCTAAGCATTCTATACTACCCAAAGGTTTCCACAAAAGACCTTCCATGAAACCATGGATCATTAAAAATCCTTAACTTGAAAACATAATTAGGGAATATAAAAAATTACTCATGAAAATCTAGCCCAAAGCCCCAAACATGCATGAACAATAAATTGTTAAATTAGAAACATTGAAGACAACAATTGAAGAAAAAACAATTATCACTCCATCCCAAACCTTACCATACAACAATCCATGGTCAAAATAAAACTGAAATATGTAACGAATTCGAAGCCAAACAATAGTAAAAAAATAAAAAATAAAAAAGCAATCAAAGCAAAACCCAATTTCAATCATACAAAACCTATTCGCACTTGCATAATAATCAATCAAAAGAATTTTAAAATTCAAAATTGACAGGTCGACTATTGAAAACCATCGATAAAATCATTTCAATCATACAAAACCTATTCATACTTGCATAATAATAAATTAACAGAATTTTAAAATTCAAAATTGACAGGTCCACTATTGAAAGCCAAGGATAAAATCTCAACCCTAATTTTTTTTCAATACCACTTAGCTACCAGAGAAATAGAGATCAAATTGATAGTTACACCGTCACCAGAGAGCTTATCTTTGGTGCTCAAACCCTACCGATGTGCGAATCTTCCTCTCTTATTCTTAGTATTTGACTATGCAAATACACCCTACCTTGGCCACCAATATCGGAGACTGCATCTCTTCAAAGATGGAGCAACAAATGTAAGGATGTGTGTATATATATATAGCTAGCTAAGAAAACATAGAGAGGTTGGGTTTTAATTTTGCAGTGGAAGATGAAACCCCCTTTAGGTTTTGGATTTTGAATTTTATTATTTTTTATTCGAACCATCAAAATGGGGTACCAACCAAAGAGAGATAAACATGAAGATCAAAAAATAGTTAGGAATCTTACCCAAGCTTTTTGATTCACTCTGCTTCGAGGGATTCAGGACTTGATTTGTGATTGTTTTTGAGATCTCCTGTTATCGAGTTAGAGTTAGGTTTTGAATGTGTTGGCTCAAATTGGGAAATAGATCCGTCACAGTCACTCTCCAGGTGGAGATAGATCGGTTTGGTGCTAATTTTTATGGATTCGGTGTTAAGTTTGATGTTAATTTGAATTTAATTTGGTGTTAACTTCTCTCTCTCTCTCTCTCTCTATTTGGTGTTATGTAAATTCTGTATATTTTAGAAGCTTTGTATTCCTCTGCAATTTTTACAAGAAAATCAATTAAATACCTTATGATTTCAATAAATTTTTTTTTTTTTTTTGGGTGACTAAGAAAAAGAATTACATTCTGAATTCAATAAGTTGAATTGTTTGAGAAAAAAATTGTAATCAAATTTAGGTTGCGGAAAAGTACTTAGCAATGAGCACCCAATTGTATGGAATTGCTGTGGATGTAGCTGGAGAACTGGTATTTGTATTTAATATAGCGCACTTAATTGTAGCCTGAACATTTACTTTATAAAGGTGATCTATTGGCTCATATTTTGCACATTAAGTTGTCTATTTAAATCTCTCTACTCACTGAATTATTTGTTCGGTGTGAGTCAATTGCTGATATTCAGGAGTTATTGGGTAAATTGCAAATTTTTGATCCCCTTGATGATGGATCATCTACCACTACTTGCCATTTTCTTTTAACTTCCTCAGATTCTATCTTGTGTTAGGCTCTGTCTCTTATACCTGAACAAGCATATCTAAGGAACAGAAATGGAATATGTTTTCTTTTACCAAGTTATATATAGTAGTTCTTTTATACATGTAATTTCATGATATTACTATAGGAATAAGCCTTACATGTATTAATTTCTTATTTGCAAGGCTACTTTTAAGGTCAGTGTTAAGTATTAGATATTTGAAAATATTACAATATTATGCACTTATCTAAAAAAAATTATGCATTTATAAATTAAAATCATCTTTCCTTCCTTTTTATTATTATTATTATTATTATTGAATGGATTATGATCATTCTTACAATATGATCTGAGTTATCTTTACTAAACCATTCATTCCTTATTATATGATTGTTAAAAATCACATGATAGGTACACCTCACTCACCAAAGAAGAAGAACAGTCATATTGACACCATACTCGCTATGCTGTTGTCTCTGACCTGCTTTACAGGTATGGTATAGTGGTACACACACACACACACACACACACGCATGCGCATGTATGCAAATAGTTTATTGTATTTCACTCTTTCAATGCAATGCACCTTAGAACCCACTTTGGTTTTATGAAAAAAATTCTGTTCTTTACCAAGCTGGCTAAAAGTAAACCTTTCACATGCGGACACAGGCCTTTTATACTAGTGAAAAACATGGATGGTTGCCTTTATTCGAGGCTTTACAATTTAAAATCTTCTATCGAATGGTAGTTGGAATAATATATACTTGTTAAACTCTGAAATTCTCTTCCCTATCCGAGAGTTTCTAATTCTTTTTCCATTCGTAGGGGTCAAGATAAAATACACTAATAAGTTCAACATGTTATACATACTTCCATTCAATTAATTCTTTGTACCCCTATAAATAAATTGAAAAATTATATACTTAATTGAGAGTTATCGAAGTGATATCTAAGACTGGTTTGTTTCTGTTTCAGATTGAGACAAAAATCGTGGAAGTGGCATTCAGGTAGGTCACAAGATATTAATTTTAATCTTAATATAAATTCACTCTTGGTATAATACGCGTTAAGTTCTTAACACGGCAATTGATCACCAGACAAGAAGAAAGATGTCAATTTCCTCAAAAATTTACCAGGCGCATCCAAAACGCTCCAGATTTTCAATGCTGATCTTGAACAGCCAGACAGATTTGATGCAGTCATTGAAGGATGCATTGGAGTGTTTCGTGTGGCTCATCTCATTGATCTCGAAGACAAAGAATCAGAACAAGTCAAGACCAGAAGAGCAATCAATGGGACTCTAAGCATTTCAAAAGCTTGCCTTGATTCCAAGACAGTGAAAAGAGTAGTGTACACTTCTAGTGCATCAACTGTGGTGTTCAATGCCAAGGGTGGTTTAGAAGAAATGGATGAGAGAACATGGAGTGACATAGATTTTATGAGAGAACTTATGCCTTTTGGAGCTTCGTACATGATTTCCAAGACATTAACAGAAAGAGCAGCTCTAAAGTTTGCAGAAGAACGTGGATTGGATCTTGTGACAGTAATTCCTTCTGTTATTGGAGGCCCCTTCATTTGCCCCTATTGCCCCGGCTCTGTCTACACATCATTGGCTATGATTTTCAGTATGTTACTGTTGCCTCTCAATAAAGTTTGTCACACATTCATTTTTTTTTTTTTTTTGTACAATTAATTTTCATAATCTATACCATACATGTAGGTTACAAGTATCCAAATAAGTTTCTTGCTAATATACCTTTGGTGCATGTCAATGATGTGGCAAGTGCAAACATCTTCCTTCTTGAAAATCCTGATGCGAAAAGAAGGTACAATTTATGTGATGTCTGAATATTTGTCAGCCAGATACTCAGAATATCAAATACCAAAGGCCGAGTGAGTTCTAATTGTTTATCTGCACTTTTTATGCCTCTAATTAGATTTGTCATTATATCATGTAATTAATTAATGACCCTGTTGCAACTGAGACCAGCAGATTAAAATAAGAACAAAGTTTAATCTTTTATTTTGTTAACCACCAAAGTATATGCTTCGTTAGATATTTACCCAAAGAAAACAGTTTTGTAAGTAGTTGAAAGTTCATTAGTTCACAATAGTCGGCATACTTTTTGTTGATTTAATTTTTTTTTTTTTTTGGAAAAGCTATAATAGATTTTAAGTTTCTGTATTCAAAATGAATGGAAGAATAGCATTCAATCATTCTTTCATTTTGGGAAGAACAATGGTAACTATTTGATAAAACTCATGAAAGTAAGCTAATATGTTGCATGATAAATTGTTGATTGTATGGTCAATGCTTTTCAAAAACATCCCAGATGACATATGAGGCCTTGTCGCTATAATAGATTTTAAGTTTCTGTAATCAAAATGAATGGAAGAATAGCATTCAATCATTCTTTCATTTTGGGAAGAACAATGGTAACTGTATGATAAAACTCATGAAACTAAGCTAATCTGTTGCATGATAAATTGTTGATTGTATGGTCAATGCTTTTCAAAAACATCCCAGATGACATATGAGGCTTGACAAGGCATGATGACTTGGCAGCTATTTGATAGGATTTTAGAGTTCCTCTTTGTTGGAATATAATGTTTTATTGATATCATGATATGTATTTCTGCCTTATCTGTTATTTGTTCCCTGAGTCTGGCATTCACAGGATTATCTTATTTTTACATATTGTTATACGTTCGAGTACAACCTGTCATTCACTACAAATTTTATGCCTCTAAATAGATTTGTTATTATATCATGTAATTAATTAATGACCCTCTTACAGCTGAGAGACCAGCATATTAAAATAAGAATTGTACTTTTTTGGGTTTTGATTAGATCCATTGAGAGAACAAAAGACTCGTGGGGGCACGAAGTGCCTCAATATACGAGGCATGCAAGAGGGAGAGCGTATTACAGTTTCTTTCAATGAGGTCGGCCAGCCCATTGGGGGAAGAGGGCGTATTACGGTGTCTAATTGTCATAGGTTTGTAACGAGATTGGAACTTCTCAAGCACCGCCACAAGTACCACGACATGCAGATCATCCTCCTCTTCAAATACACTCGTTGTTCCATCCTGGAAGGTATATTCTACACCATTTATTTTTATTCTTAGTAAGAATCCATTCACAAGCACAAGGGGCATTGAACTGGGACCGGACCATTGGCTAGTATTTTTTTAGATTCTGCCAGAGCAAGCATTGTTTTATATCATCTTTCGTCCTTACATCTAACGCCTGAAACCAAGTAAAAAACAGGACGTAGGTTATTTTAATCACTTAGTTTTTAGTTCAGAAGCCACAGACCTTGAATTACAAAAGGCCAATGTTCTTCCCATTAACCGAGAGTACTGAGAATGGTGAAATAGAAACAGAGCTAACATGACATTTGACATGCAAAATGACCTAATCATGCTTTAAGAAAGTTTTACCGTAAACACATAATGCCTTGTCACACTTTAATACTTTCCATGAGGCAATTAAAACTCTGCTTTTAAATATAATGCCTTCACTGACATGAGATTCTATTCCTTCTAGACTACTGAGGGAATTTTGAAAGCCAGTTTTTGGCATTGCTATGGTCATCTCTTTATTAATATTGTCCCATAGTTATTTATTGTGTTCTAAATTGGGTCCCTAGGTGTTGTAATATTTTTCTTCATTGTGCCTGTAAAATTGTTTTGGCTGCTAGAATTAGTGGTGCAACTTAGGCGTGTCCAGCCCTGCCCAGCCTGAACCCGACCTCAACCCGATTCTGGGTTGGGTTGGGCCGGCCGGAGGTAACACAAATCTGGGCTTCAGCCCGAATATTCACGGGTCAGACGGGTTATCCAGGTCAACCCATGGGACTCATCCTGAATCCGTAGCTCACAAATCGTATCACGGATTGGCTTGTTAAAAATCCGATCCGATCCGTGAAAAATATATATATATATATATATATATATATATATATATATATTCAAAGAATATATTAATTAATGATAATTTAATGGACTCTAAGGATGTATTAGTTAATAATTATGTAAATATATGAATTAATATTAATAAATTAAAAATTTATCTATTGGGTTATGGTTAAAAGATAAATAAATAATAAATAATATTAATTATAAAAATAATAATGGATAATTTAGATAAAACCCAATTCACGAATCCAATCCGATCTGATTCGTGGGATAACGGATCGGTGGCAAATTAAAATTTGTCTAATCCATTGGGAGTGGATCAGATTAGGATTGATGCCTAATCCGATCCGTGGCTACCCCTAGTATTTCTTACCATTGAACTCTTATGAAAAAATAATAAAAATGACATCAATATAATACATAAAAACAATAAAGAAAGAAAAGGTTCAAAATGGGCTTTCTGCCCATGAACCCAAATCCGTATATTTTTTTTATTTGGCAAATTAATTGAATTGACATACTCCCTCTGTCTTAAAAAAGATGTCATGCTTTCCTTTTTAGTCTGTCTCAAAATAATTGTCACTTTCCTTTTTCAAACAATATATTTTACATCTTTCCATTTATATCCTTTCAGTTTAAAATTTCAAGCTTCAATATTCAAAACTTAAAAAGACAAATTAGTAACTTTTCAAGGAGACAAGGCATGTCCCACATGTACCCTTAAAAATTCCAACTCCCCAAAAGTGACATCTAAACGGGGAAAGAGGGAGTATTGTTATTATTGTTATAATTATTTTAAAATCTCTCTCTCTTATCTGCCTATAGCTTAATCCTAACCGTCCAGTCTAACATCTAAAGGATCTCTCAAATCCTAGAAACATTAAGCCCCTCTTTCTTCTCTCCCAAATAAAAAAGATTTGAAATCTTGAATTTGGGTTTCAAAAACTATTGACCGATATCAAATTTATTTATTTATTTTCACCACCCACCCCTAAACAACACAACTACTTCTTTGCATCATTCAATTCTCTTCGGCATCAATCAATTTAAAGATCTGTTAAAAAAAAAAAAAAATCACAACCAACCAACATCCTTTATCTACATCATTTGTTTTTTTTTCCCTAACACCCACTCCCAAACACATAATCACAGCCAAACAAACTCCTCGCCTTCTTTTAGGAGGTACCAGTGTGGTGATCAAGGATGAAACAACGGCAACAGAGGCAGAGGTGGAGGAAAATGACGGAGGCAGAGGTGGAGGAGGAAGATAGCAGCGGCGGTAGAGGTGGAGGAAAACGACGGCAGCTGAGGAGGAAAACGGCAGCGATGGAGGAAGGCGGTAGAGGAGGTGGTACTTGGAAGGCGGCGGTAGGTGGTGACGGTTTCTTCTTTTAACATCAGGATTTTTTTTTTATTTTTTTTATTTTTTATTTATTTTTTTTTATTTTTTTATTATTTTTTTTTTTTTTTGCAAATCTAGTTATGGTTATTAAAAAAATAAATAAATAAATAACTAACCAAATTCGGGTTGGACGGTTGGGATCGGGTTAGAACGGTTCTAACTTGAGGCCAACCCGAATTGGGTCCAGGCTGAGAATTTTCAACCCGATCCCAACTCAAGCTTCTAAAATTGCGAGACCAACCAAAAAAATTTCGGGTTGGGCTTGGCTAACCCACCCAACTTGCGCCCCTCGCTAGAACAGGGGTAGGGGCGGACCCATGCTGCGTACCTATATTATGAGGGTTGGGTTTAAGCATGCTTTGTTTTTGCCTTTTCTTATCCTCTGATGTCACGATGTGTGACTAAAAGAAATATTCTGACGCACAATAGATGTATTGTGAGATGGGGTCTTTGCTCTGGGAGGTGGGCATTGTAATAGACAATTAGGTAGACCAAGTTCGAGTGAGAGTCCAGAAGCCTGAATAGTGGTGGAGAGTGTTAAAGGCTATCACTCAGGCCAAGGGGTCATGAATTCCAGCCAAAAGAATTCTTTCCACAGTTCTTGGAGCATGCATGGTTTAAGTTTTCCAACCTTAGTCCATTAAAATAGGACCATTAGATGTATTTATAGGATCTTGAAACTGAGGAAGCGGGCCATATTAGCGTGGATGCAACCATGGCGCTGTCAGGTGTCATCCGAGTAGGGCCTATGCAAGTAGCTGAGCACCATGTGTACTTGAGACTTGAGAGCCCTTGCTCTCTTCCAAACTGGCTAAAGTGTTCCCCACTCTTTTGGGGATAATTTGACAAGCACGGAACAGAGGGCCACATCAGTTTGCCCCTAATCTAGCCACCTAACCAAGGGCCTTTGGACATTCCGAATCTGGTGGTATGATGTAGGACATGGGCACTGAACCGGTTCCTAAAATCTGGTGGTATGATGTAGGACCATGGTCACTGAACCGGTTCCTCAGGGAATGTTTCACCTGGCCCTGCCTCTAACCTCAGGTGGGCATAAAGAGCAAAGGAGACCACTGTTTGGGAAAAATTCAGCAAGTACCTAATGTGTCGCATGATTTACTTAGCCAGCATGTCACTTTGAAGTAGCATTGCACATTGATGCATGATGCTCGAAGCACTTTCTGCCTGTCAGCTAACACCATCAAGTTGCCATGTGTGAACAGTGTGCTATTGAAGTAAGAAATAAAGAAAATTCATTGGAACTTGAAAATTATTTTCAGCTTAATTCCTGTCAGTCAAGTAGTTGTGCTAAAATGTAATAGAGTGCTCAATGTAGATACATAACCTAAAAACACGCTAACATGGGTCTATTAAGTTTGTACCATATATGCATCATATACTAGATCCAGAACTGATCTTCGTATGTGAAAAACTCCATCTTTTCTCTCTCTCTTTGATCTTTGGCATTGAATAGGTGAAATCTATTCAATTTTATTGAGATGATTGGGGAGAATTTACTTGAGCCGCTTAGATTTATTAATGGGAATTGACAAAAAATGGTCCTTCTTGGAGTTACCAAGTAACCACCAACTTCTAGACTGCTGGGTATGCCCCCACTTTAATTCTTGTACTTCATTGTTTATTCTCAATACACAAACCCATTTAGGAAAAAATAAATAAATAAATACCCATCAACTTCTAGATGACAATTGAAAGCCTTGGTCAGAAGCAAGACCATAACCTCAAAATTTCATTCGTCTATTTGTCTTATATTTAGTTCTCAAAATGATTAGTATAGTTTGCAATAATTCTTATATTTGCACTAGATGTTATTTTTGAGGGATAAATTGCTAAAATAAGAAAGTTCACAAATTTGAAATGAACAAAGATGAAATGAAATTACCTGAAGTCGTATTCTAAGAGCTTCTATAATAATGTTGATGTTCTAGTGTTACATTTCCTAAAGTTTTAAATTTTTATAAGCATTTACAGATTGATTAATTATTTCTAGAGATGTGATTTAAGTCTATAATTTAGCAAACAAGTGACAAGCCCTCGTAGATTTTATTGTGATCTTTCTGGTCATTGAATGATACATGATGTCCTGACTTCTAAGTGCATGCCTAATTATTTGTAAGGATGCATCATTACAGAAAAACAAGACAACATCAAGTATCATCTGATATCAAGATAACAATATCAGATGATACAATGGGTATTGTGTTTTTATGTTATTAATACAACGTGTTCTGACTTCTAAGTTGTAATTAAAAGAGGTTGTTGTTCCATATATAAATTTGTTTATATTTATGCATGTTACCAGTGCTGGATACCTCATCATTATCTGCGCTTTTGTAATATACAGAGGATTTCAATTAGATATCTGTTCGCTTCAGTTCTCGAGATCTGGCTTGTTAACAATATTGTGGTTGACTCAGCACTTACATTTATGAAGAAATACTACTTGCAGTGGTAAGTTTTATCGTTTAGAATTCTCAAGTCATTCATATTCAATCTTACCATATCTTATTGTTTTTAATTTGTCCTTTGACTTTTGAGATCCGAATGCACAGGGAAGTCAGACTCCTTTTGAGTGTTCAATTTTAGATATAACTATTTATTAACGATTCTCCCCTACAAATCCTATGTCCATATTTCATCTTTTGTTTTGTTCAAGTTTGCAACCACTGTACCAGGTCAAGATGCATGAAGGTTTGATGACATTAGAAAGGAAAGCATGATGCATTATAAGACAACCATGGAAAATGTGATAGGATTTGACGGTTTGGGGACTATCAGAAACCTGAACAGAAGCCCAGTGAGAGAGCTTGTCTTAGTGGGAATGTTGTGATGTATCTAAATGATAACTAATTGAACCATGTGCCGTAGGAGAATTATATTGCTCTTGTGCTCCCGATGATGGGAAATGCATCACATTGGAATTTGGAAGTGTTGGAAATGGGGGCATTAAAAACATAAACTTTGGATGAAATTTGGAATAGATTCTGCTAATAATAATTTGCAGATCTCTAGACGAGCGTGTTTCTCTCCGCAAGGAGATGAACGTGGTATATTTACTTTCTTAAATCCGTTTCCGGGTGAATGAGAAATTAGCTCCAAAGTATGGTGTTTTGATAAGTCTAAATGGGTATGCAAAATGTGAGAAGTGTTTGTTCCACATGGAAAAAATGTTGAAACAAATTGAAATTTAAATAAGCTGAGTTTAAGATTTGGGCTTGGGTTTGGGCCTAATTGTAAAGTCCAGATTATTTTTTTTTGGAATTTTGGATTGGGCCTAATTTTGGGCTGGGCTTATTTAAATGGGTTTCACTAATAGGTGGTTTTTTTTTTTTTTTTTGTGGTTGGTTTTTTTGAATTAAAAAACTATTTCTTAGTTTTTCTAAAAGGTTACACCTTTTAAATTAAAAAAAAAAAAATTATATTTTAGTTTTTCTAAAAGGTTACAACTTTTAAATTAAAAAAATTATATTTTAGTTTTTCTAAGGAGTTACACTTTTTAAATTAAAAAAACTATTTTTTAGTTTTTTCAAAGAGTTACACCTTTTTCTGAATCATCATAACCCATGGTTGCACCTACTCGAAAAGACACATTGTAACCTATTGGAATGGATGTGTCTATTGGTGAACAAACACCATGTGAACCATTGCAATCTATTGGAATAGATTGTCTAGTGGTGAACAGACACCATGTGAACCATTGCAACCTATTGCAATGATTGTGTCCAATAATGAAGAGATACACCCAATCCGAAAAGACATTTCTGTTTCTATAAATACTCCCTTTTGGATCATTTGCAAGTGGTTCATTTTTCATTTTCTTCTATCTCCCTCTCTAGATTTGAACCCAACCCAAATGGGTTCAAACCATAGGTTAAGTGGTCTGAACCACTTAGACCCTAATTCAATTTCATCGAGTCATATTAAGATTGGTCCGAACCATTTGGTTCAGATTACATACAATTCAACATTTATATAGTATAGATGCATTTTTGAGTCAGAGAGAGTATTACACGGAGGAGGTTATCCACGAGTTTGTAGTGCTGCTACTGGTGGATGTAGACCGTTGTATCCTGGGAAATAGACGCCACTGAGTCCGTAAGCACTATAGCGGGGCGAATCTGTCTTAAGGACATAGTATCCAATACTAACCTCGGTTCAAGTTCTTTATTTATTATTATTATGTTATTACTTTATTTTGCATATTTAATTAAATATAGAGTTGCATATTTAATTAATGATTTCTTAACATATTGATAATTATCTCATGACATATTAGTATAAGGTTTGTTATATCTTAAATGTTACATGAAGCATATAAATTTACCAACAATCCTAAGACAGATTCATTCCTTGCGTAGATTTATCATATGTTTCTCTTTAAGATATAAACAAGTGGATATTATACTAATAGTTGAGATATAATAAAATAATGTTATATATATTATTCTATGATAATATGTTAAATATTAATGTGTTCAATATTATGTGAAATCGAAGGATGTTATATAAATAGATTATTGAATTATTTATATAATTCAATATTGGCTGAATTATTTTAATTTTGTAATATGATATTATGAAGTATATGATATTACCTTAAACATGTGCCAACTAGAGGTAGAAAAAGGTACTTCATTACTTTTATCAATGGTTGCATAAGATACTGTTATGTATATTTGCTATGAAACAAAAATGAAACCTTATAAATGTGACACCATATGAATTATGGAAAGGTTGAAAACCTTCCTATAAATTCTTAAAAGTGTGGGGGTGTCTATTTATGGTTGTAGTTCCTATTCCTAAGAAAGTTAAAGTGGAATCTAAAATGTGATGACCTTATAAGTGGGTGTGTCGTGGACGGGTGCAAGAGGCACCGACAGGCTACCACACTAGGCGATTTATAGGTGCACAGTCTCACATTGCTTAGGTAAGGTAAGTGTGTGGTGGAGTGAATCGTTACATAAAACATTTGATAGGTTATGCTCATAACAGTATTGCATATCATTTTCTTGTGCATACAATGAAAATAAGGATGAACTTAGACGTAACAAGAGGGCTAGAACGTCTAAATCTTTTGGTCCTGATTTTCTAGCATGTTTATTGGAGAATGAGCCATAAATATTTTTTCTTTAATTAATCATGTGATATAATATGAAACTGTATTGTTATGAATATTATTTTTATAAATATTTACTTTTATTTGATACTATAATATTGAACTATGTAGTTGAATTACTTAATGTGCATTGTAATTCAAATTTACAACATAATTTATTTAATATGTGATATTATTGAAATTTGTATGAATTCATGACTGGTTTGTGTATGTAATACAACAAACAAAAATTGACTAGTCCAACTATGTTAATTCTCTCGATAGTCAAAGGAGAAAGATCTATACTAGTGTTTAAGACACATATAGTTGTGAATGGGCTGACTAAGAGAAGATTTTCCAATAACTCTAAAAAGTTTAATGGAAAATGTTATGGATACACTAAGCAAGTACACCGAGACAAGCTAAATCAAGCTAGTTAGCTTTAATATACAATTTAGTTAAAAGCTAAAATGTTATTGAGTTGCAAACTAGTTAGTTTAGTTATAAATTAAAATGATTAATGAGGTGCATATAACCTAAGAGGAAGATGAAACACTGTAAGTTGATTTTAGCTCTCAACTTGATAGTAAAAAACATGAGGGTGATGAGTAGCCATTTTAGCCATTAGCTATTTGAGTTATACTACTTGTAAAGTAATAGTTTTTGAAGAATATTCTTCAAAACAAATTATTCAACTACCAAGGTAGACTACTTAGATAAGTGTGTACTAAAGTTATAAACTATTAGAATTGATAGCTAAATAAACTTAACTTCAAGCTAGAGGTAATAGCTAAAAAATTAGTGCTCATCATAACCTAGTAGTGAGATACGAGAAGAGTGTACTTAATCTAAGCTAATAATGATAGTTAATAACTCATTTTTAACTATTAATGATAGTTAAGAAGTGAGTGCTCACTTTGTGGTGATTGTATCCAAAGCTTAAATAATAAGATAATTATTTGCTTAAATGATTGAGTTATGTGATGTGTGAGACATGAAAGGTTATGACATGTTAATATGACTAACTTAACATGAATCTAAATATGAATAACTCAATTCATAAATACAAGAGATGTAGAAACAAATATTAATTAAAGTCCATTGTAATTAATATCTTTAATATTAATTCACAATAACGTCTGTGACATATTATAAGGATAAGCTAGAGATAAAGTGAATACATATGCACTGAGACTGTTATGTATGCTTGTTGAGAAGCGAATATAGAACCTTAGATAGGTAGATGAGGTGAAATATTTAATATATGGTATTTCAAGAGTTCTTTTTCCAGCGGAAGAGCTGAGTTATTTGTTCTAGTTGAAGAGGAAAGTGTGCAAGCTTATAAGTCCTTGAGTGGATTAAAGCTGGTACCAAGACAATGACATAAATGTAATATATAAGTCATTGTATGTCTTACAAAAATTAATGATATACTAATTAGTATATTTGATATGAAAGATTTAACATCTGATAACATAGTATATTCTCAATAAAGTGAGATTGAGATAATACTAGTTATGATAACAAAAGCCTAGCTAACTTTTGTAGATGTAAATCTCAAATATAAATACTAGTCAAAGTATATCATTGGTTAAGATTGCAAGGCATCTTAATAACTGTGTAGTTGAAATACACCCAAAATCCAATATTACTTAGATCGAGGTATCTAACTAAATTGGAGATGTAACAGTGATGCAATCTGGATATGGGATATTAAAGACTTCAAATCCAAGAGTGGATATGTCTTTTATATTAAAGGTGTAAATGTATGTTCTTAATGTAACTCAAAGTTAGAAACTTTGAATAAATCAAATAGGAAAATCAATAGACTTCACCTAGAGGACATTTCAAAGTAAGTATACACCTATGCCATTAAAGAAAATAATTTTAAAGCACAAAGTATACAGTTGCTCTCACCTGGAGAAATCTCTGCAGAGTGTAATTTTTCTATATACAACCTTGTGGCCACATATAAAATTGAGGATTGTACTAGAGAGCAATTGTATAGTTCATCGAGGGGAATGGGACTAAAAGCCGAAAGCTAACGAATCATCTTAATGGAAACCCAACCTAGTTGACTGGAGATCCCAATATCTAGGTTCAAAGGGACAACAGAAATTCTGAATGGCTCACCAGAAGCACTGGAAAGATATAAATCTTCTACTCGTTTCTATGATGAGACAGTGCTGGTACCTACAGCGAGGATTAGGATAAGCTACGCTTTTAATGACTCTTATACCTTGAAAATTCAAGTGGGGTATGGTAGGATACTCTTAATAAGAAGTCACCTATATGAGTGTGAAGTGGGGCTGCTTCTATGAGAACTATAAAGGCTAAGTTTTCTGGAGCACTCATTGAATACCAGGAGTTGTTCAGGGCCAAAATGAACACAACTATGAGAACCAACTTTGTGAGGAAAGATGTTGTGTATTTGTTATTGTCTTGGTTTACACAAACGGCTGAACAGTTCAAGACATCGCGTTCACTGGTTAACCTGTAAATCCAATAGCAATACACTAGGGAAGGTTCAAAGCCAAAAGCTACCTATCCTGATGCAATAACTTTCCAACTATACTCTTTCTAGTGTCTGCATGATCATCTTTTGCATTTTACGCAAATTTCCATTCATGTGGGGGATTGTTGGAAACGGGGGCATTAAAAATATAAACTTTGAATGAAATTTGGAATAGATTCTGCTAATAATAATTTGCAGATCTCTAGACGAGCGTATTTCTCTCCGCGAGGAGATGAACGTGGTATATTTACTTTCTTAAATCCGTTTCTGGGTGAATGAGAAATTAGCTCCAAAGTATGATGTTTTGATAAGCCTAAATGGGTATGCAAAATGTGGGAAGTGTTTGTTTCACATGGAAAAAATGTTGAAACAAATTAAAATTTAAATAAGCTGAGTTTAAGATTTGGGCTTGGGTTTGGGCCTAATTGTAAAGTCCAGATTATTCTTTTTTGGAATTTTGGATTGGGCCTAATTTTGGGCTGGGCTTATTTAAATAGGTTTCACAAATAGGTAGGTTTTTTTTTTGTGGTTGGTTTTTTTGAATTAAAAAACTACTTTTTAGTTTTTCTAAAAGGTTACACCTTTTAAATTAAAAAAAAAAAAAAAACCATATTTTAGTTTTTCTAAAAAGTTACACCTTTTAAATTAAAAAAATCATATTTTAGTTTTTCTAAAGGGTTACACCTTTTAAATTAAAAAAACC